TGTCACTTCCTATCTGTGCCCCTGAGGCTGCTATTATCCTCTGGAAGGAAAATGCAGTCTTTTGCAAGAAATGAGACTTGCCACCGAGAAACACTGGTGCTTTCAGTGCTTTAATTCTTCTTCATCTGCCCTTTTTCACCACACACCAGCATGAATTTCCTCTCCAGCCATCAGCTGTAAGAGAAAGCATCCCAAGTTAACTTGCTGCAGTAAAAAGAAAGACTTCTGTTCAGAGACTTACATTTTGAAAAATGTGTATGTATTCATAGCAAATTTTGTCCCTTTAATTTTAATTCAAGGTTTTGAAGAGACAATATAGAAAACAAAACACAATTTAACTGATTCTTCCAAATATTARAAACCATTTAAACTGTGTACATGAATTAAAAGGAAAAAAAAAAAGGAGGAAGGAAGTAATTAATTAGATATATTTTGGGACACATTCCCAAATGATGCAGAATTCAGTCAAGCAATGTTTATTATGTAAGTTCTGAAAACAGCCCATTGTTTCCAAAAACACAGTAACCTCTTTTGCAGAGGACAGAAAGGATCCAGGTCTCTAAAGAAGCCAGAAYTGGCAATAATGAACACAAGATTTCGTATTTACTGAACAGCAGATGCACTTAGCACCAGCTTTAGTTATGCAAACATCAGACCAAGATCACTGGATGAAACTGGACTCCCTATACTTCTTTACCTCCTATTGCTTCCCCTTTWGTTCACTTCTCTTTGCCTAAAAAGATCACCAAAGCAATCATCCAGCAAAACAAGTGTTTCCTACAAACACATTTTCTTTATTCCAAACAAATGTCAGTTCTTCACTGGCTGAAGTGCAATAATTCAGTGAAGAACTGGAAGAGAATTACAACAACTGACCAGCTGAGAATTTGCCACTGAGAAATGATTCTTGCAAAACTCTTCCTAAAATAAAATAAAATTACACAACTTATATTAAAATAAGTATTAAATCACCCTTCTGGAAGAAAGCCTAGACATACTAAAGTGAAGTTCAAAATTTGCAACAGTCTGAAAGAAGGACTGGCTGTACATATCATTTTAGGATTAGACTACAGTCATGTTTCTGCCACCTCCTCAAACAAGGTTTGAAGAAACTTACACACACACACTTAATTTCCACAAATTGGTTAATCATAACTTTGGTGTTCAGAACTGACGAGCTTTCAAAAAAGAAAAACATTATTATAATCACATAGTCATTAAGGTTGGAAAGGACCTTTGAGATCATTCCACTCCAGCACTGTTACCTACAACCTCTGCTTTAGATGGCTTTTTCCTTACGTTTTTTTTGTTACAAATTTCTCTTTTGCAATACAGACTAATTTTAGCTCTGGCTCCTGGGCTATATCTGTCTACATTTAACTGCCTGTTAACTCCAGCTGGGTGTCTTTATGACATCAAGAAACACCTGTGTTTACTCATTTGCATTAAGTTACCTTGATTGTGAGCAGCAGATTGCAAAATTTGTGTCTAATTACAAATAGGGGGTACAGGAACAAATAATGGAGAACAATGCAAATTCTAACTGTCCTTCACTGAACCTGAAACGAAGAACTGCTACATGACCACAAAAAAAAAAGGTATAGTTAAAGAATGCAGAACAGATAAAGAAAATTGGTTTGGTATCATTGGATTTGACATTGCAAGACATTAAATTTTCCTTTCACCTGACTGAAGCAATGCAGTAGGTGTTCTGGTGCTCACGACAAGGACACAGCGCTTCTGCCACACTTCTCAACAAGCATGCTCTGGCTGCTGCTAAGTCTCCTTCACAAAACTTGTAAAGAAATCAATAGTGCTGTGACTCTTGAGGAAATCYTCCCTTTCACACTGCTCAATCAGAAACTTCAAAGATCTCTTTCACATAGCCATTTTCAATACCAYAATTATGTGTCCTAAAATACTAGAAAGGGTTAATTTCTTGAAAATATAAYACCTGCTTCCTTAAACATATGCTGATTTTTCTTTTCTGCTCTGCAAAGGCAAATAGGTTTTGTAGAGTCTAGGGATTTAATGTTTCCCTTTTATGCCAGGTTTGCAGCAGMACTGATCAAATCACATCCCCAATCCTAAAAGGAGAGTGGTTTGTAGCTCGTTTTTGTTGTCTTTTTTAACAGAGGCATTCAGATAATTTTCAAAAAGACCATTTTTATGTAAAAAAAAAATGCAATATGAATTCCTACACAGACTTCTCCCCCTGCAGCACCACATGCTGCACAAACAAGGCCCATCCCCATGCCACAGCTGGCAGAGAAATCACACCAGTTTCCATTCACCTTTGCTATAAAACATATAYAATTTTTTAAGAGTTGAATGATTTCTCTCTCAATAATGTTGCACTCACAACACTGRTGAAAAAACACCCTTCCTCCTCCATAAAGCTATGCAAGAAGCCAAACCCAAGAGCAGGAAACRCATGCCACTGCTTCTAGGTAATTCAACCAGGTGACAGGACAGCAACAAATTCAGGGAAGCTGATTAACCATGAGACCTGTTTAGRCAGTTAAATACATTCCCTTGATCAACACTTCACCCTTGCAATGACACATCTAAACCAGCTGTGTCCACTTATAGAAAGATTTAAACACAGGTTGGCATGATAGGCAGAAATCAGGCACCTGATCAAAACAGACTCATCTGAGTAAAACTCAGTAGCCATTACATTCTGCTGTATTGTCTGCCCAAATGCACATGCATYTAACTTCCATTTTACTTTGATCTTATTTCAGTCTTAGGTCTTTCAAGRGTAGGACTTTAGCTTTTATGCAAAGAAAATTTCAAGGATGATTTTCAGTTCCAAATAYTTTTGGCTCAGAGCCCAGAGTCTTTGCTGCTAAGGTGAAACAGTCTCAGCTGAAGAAAATGAAAACAGAAATAGAGTGAAAAAAGAGACCTTTACCAACAGCTACTGTTGGTTTATCTTTGAAGTGATCTTGATTGCTGTAGCACATTTCATCTCTTCACCTTCTACTTTGTTCATTCTATTATTTAGACACAGCAGCAGGATTTGTTTGTACATACAAACTACTGCAAGAACAGAAGTGAAGGACAAATTATATTATCATATATTTCATTTTACAAATCTGTYGCCCTCAGCAAATTCAGGCTAGAAAAACAATGTTTTCAAGATTCCAACTATGTATTACCTGTCTGCTGGTGGAGGTCATYGACAATCTTTGTATCTAACCCTCTTTTTCTGCTGAAAGCTGTTGGTTTTGCTATTATTTTCTTTCTCCACATTAAGCCCATGCCTATTTCTAATACACCTTTTTGAAGACGAAGGGGCAGGACTTCTGCATTTTGCTGATATGCACACCTTCTCAATTTCACAAATACTGGAACACCAATTCTAATGAGTAATTAGCATATGATTATTTAAAATAACTTCACAATTAGTCAAAAAGAGATGGCAATGCCTGACTACAGAGCTTTAGTGTCTACCTCTCTTTCAGGGGGCATTATTAAAAGAGGTGAACAGAACCAGCTCCATCATGTTTGTGTAAGCATTCAGCTGAATATTTATTCCTAACATGATAACATAAAGACAACTAAACTTTTAAATCCTCCTGTTAATATATTATCACCTCTTTTCCAGAGAATTATTAGGAAAATTTCCCAGTTATTATTGAGTGCTGTCTAAAAATAGAATGCGGCTGTATTATTTTACTTCAATTATTTGTTCATAGTCCTTGCATATCTTCACTCCCAATACTGACTGGCTGATTGCACAACAATTCTTATCACTCCACAGGAAGGAAGTGTCCTGTGGTGTAAACTACTGAGCAACCACTGCATCATGGCCTAGGAACTTATATAACCTACTAAACAATTTCTGGAACTGTAAATTAAATGCTGTTAAAGGTCTTGAATATTGCTACAGCAGCTTGTTTTCCCCCTTCTAGAAATAAAACCCATCTCCCTCAAACTACTGGTACAATCAGAAAAGCGTTTCCCTTTAGGAAACGCTCTCCAGGTGTGAATCCAACAACTGGCTTGATCTGATTTAGCCCAGATCATCTCAAATGCTGCAAGGGGAGGCCCAGAATGGCATTGATCTCATTTTTATCTGTTATTGATCTTAGACAGACATTGCTCTCAKGGCAACTTTTATGAAAAGCTTTTTAACATTCTTTTATTAATTCTTGACCTTGAATTTTCTAAGCTATTCAGTGTTGAGGGTACAAATAGCAAAATAATAATATTCTTGACATCTCCCAAACTCCTCACCAAGCTTAGCRAAACTGATGGTTAAGTACACGCACAGGACTATTAACAAATACAACTTACAAGCTTTAGACATCCAAGTTCAGTAACTGTTTATCTATGTATCCATTATTTTGAAATCTACACAAATTGCACACTATTACACACCAACAACCATACCACAAGTCATTAAAGCTTATGGTTTATYCACACGTATTGAGTCACATCCATTTGTTCACCTCAGGTAAGAGAAACAGGTAACGCCTGTTTCCTTACTGTTATTCAGCCTCTAAAATTAGAAAGGTAGACCAACACTGTCTCCACAATGAGTAATTTCCTTCTCCAACACCTTCATAAAATACAATCACACCCCTAGATGTCACTTGCTTGAAAAAGTTGCACACCAATTACATAGCTGGTTTTACATCAATCTTGTTATCAGTAGATTCAGTGCAAATTTTAGCACTGCTGACAGTAAAAACAGCATCTTCTATTCTTGAAACAAGGATCAGGTGAGGGCAAGTTATAAGAAAGCCTTAATTATGTACACTTTCAACCAGAGATTTGGACATTAGTTATAGCTATAATTTCACCTTTTCATCTGACTTTTTTTTATAGATTTCTATTCAACTCACTAAAAAGCTAAGTTTTAAAATATTTATGCAAATTCTTGGCATTGGTACTTTTGATCCACAAACCGACTATGGGAAAAAAAACCCCTACAGTTTTACAAGTACACCACAAAAGCAAACTTCCAGGTGACCTTGCACAAGCCTTACCTGCATCATTGTGACCACATGGCACGGATTCAGGAGGTAAATGACAGTCCTGGTGGCGAACTTGAATCCCACCTCCAGCCCAAAGATGAGGCAGAGCAGCACCAGCAGCACRTTCTTGCCCAGGCTCTCCTGCTTAGTCTGGGGCTGCTGCAGGAGGTTCTCCAGCTCCCGGACATGCAGCTGCCTGAGCTTCCACAAGGACAGCAGGATCTCCACGATGCCCACACTGAGGAAGACCAAACTCTCCAGCAAGCGCTGCCGGCCGGAGAGAAAGGCGGCGCATTCCGGCCCTCCATTGCCGGCAAAGCTRGGGTCCACCCCGCCATACATCCAGTCCAGGAGGTTGTGGAGGCTGTACCGAGACATGGCGGGACGGTGCCTCCTCTCCAGGAACAGGTASGAGCAAGACGGAATCAAAGCCAAAATGCTGCCGGGCTGCCGGAGCATGAAACGCCCAGACGCTCCTGCTGCAGCCCTTCCTTGCCAGGCTCCGGGAGAAGCGGGCAGCTCCGCTCGGGGCACGGGCAGTTCTTCAGCTCCCTTTCGCTGCCCGGAGGAGTCCCGCACGCAGCAGCCTGAGGGGAGGCAGAGGCCGCAGCTGCACGGAGCCTGCGAGATCCAGAGCCCCCGCCCCGGGAGCCCTCCTCTCCCCGCCCGGCTCTGCCGCCCACCGCTCTCCCTCTGCTCCCCGTCCTGGGCTGCCCTCACCCGCGGCCAGCGCCGTGTCCGGCCCCCTCAGCCCTCCCCGCTGTCCCTCCGCATCCCCCGCATCCCCGGGCGCGGGCGCAGTACCTCCGCGGGCGGGCGGGTGTCAGGGAGCGGCAGGCCCGGCGCCCCCGGCCATGGCGCCGGCCCCGGCGAGGGACGGCAAGGAGGAAGCACCGCTCCGCTCAGCGGCAGCGCGGGCACGGCCGACACTCCGGGCCCGAGCGGGCGGGCCGCTCCCCGCGGTTGGCCCGGCCCCTGCCCGGAGCCGCAGCATCACCCCACCGACGTGCCTGACTCACGCCGAAAAATGGACGGGTCCCCCGAATTGGCTGCGCCCGGCCGCCCGCTCCTCCCTCCGCCACGGCTGCGCCCGCCTCCCTCCGCTCCCCACCGCCTCCCTTCGCCGCCGCTGCATTCTCGGCATGTGCGCGCTCCCCGTCCGCGGCTGCCTGCCGCCTGTTGCCGCTGATTTCGCCCGGCTGCCCCCCTTCCTCCTCCTCCTCCTCCTCATCGCAGCCAGCCCCGCGCAGCTGCCCGCGGTTCSCCCCCTCAGTGCCACCGGCCGGGAGGGCGGCAAGGAGCGGGCACAGCTCTGCACGCCCGTCAGCRCCGTCCTGTTCGCCGACCCGATCGGCAGCGACCTTAACTCGATAAACGAGTTTTTCAAGTGCCTTTACAGCAGCTATAGGTAGGTCGGACGAGGCAGGGACAAACCCTAGCGGGGCTCCAGCCCAGCCCCGGTCTGGACATGGGCAGATGCCTGAAGCCAGGTGTGCCCAGTGCCGCACACGGAGCCAGGTGTGCCCAGTGCCCCACACGGGTACCTCCAGCCACCTCAGTGCCTTGCTCTGAGCACAGACCCCACTTGTCTTTGTGCTTAGACGATTTACTTCTATGTGTGCCACACCGAGCCCTGTGCAGCAGTCCAGGTTTGTTTCCTGGTTCGTGGCACTGTGAAGAGGTTGTACTGCAAGTACGTAAGTCCGTGACCGAAAGGCAAGGGTCTGTGGAGATCCACAAAGCAGTAGCAGGTTAAGGTGATATTGCCAAGGCAGTCAGAGACATGGACATGCCCTGAGAACTGTCTTGTCCTACAGATTTTATTTCACATAACCCACACACAGCACATTGCTCTCCCCATCCTCATCATTACAAGGAGTTTTCTTCTCCACAGGACAGCACTAGGACAGCACCATCACCAGGCAAACTGTTGAGCCTGACTAATTGAAAAGAAAAGCTTAATTCCACAAATAAGTTTGAAAAGACCAGTCAGGTATCAATACTGGCTAAATCAAAGTGATTTCTATATAGATGCAGGGGCAGCAACCCCTGGCCTATAAAGCTGGAGGCAGTATGGCACTGCCATTCTGCTGTGGAAGAAATTACTCCCCTTGTTTTGGAAAGAAGGGGTCCCACCAGGCTTTTCCAAAATTTTCAAGGACTCCTTTCCACAATTTGAGTTTAATAAGAATTCTACAAAACGCTGTTTTTTTCAGTCACTGCTGATTCGTTAWAATACTTATTGTTGATCTTTACCTGGAGCACAAAGCTCCTGCAAATGCCTTCCCCATGAACTGGACACACATGTATCTGCAACACACACCTGCTGCACTACCCTGCTTCACAGCCTGAAAACTCAAGCAGCTCAGCACGACATCAATATTCTGCAGTTTTCTTCTTCTTCTATATCTAAACCGCAGGATTACTGTTCAAAAAGATACTCTATTTCTAAAACACAGGGTTACTGCTCCCAAAGATAAGCAGAGTATTTTCTCTTAGGGGTCTACCAATTGAGTTATCTGTTGCCATGAGCAACCTGGAGGAGATCTGTCCCTTTCCACTCCCTCAGTCACATACAAGAGGATAACTACTGCTGCTAAAAGCAATCCCGGGCAGTTTCATACCTTGTCTCTGCATTTGCATCTCTCTCACCTTATCCAGTTTCTGGGGTCTGTTTCTCTGACTTCTTCGCTGAGTTTATCTTTGGTGACGTGAAAAATCCCCTCCATTAGAACAGCAGTACATTGTCAGGTGCTGGTATTTCAGATGTTAGATTTCTTTAAAATATGGCCCAGACACGAGARTATGAGGGCTTGTTTGGGCGGTTTGGAGTTGTGGTTTTTTTAGACTTTCAGTGAATAATAACTGGCTGAGAACATCAAAGTGGACAGTATTTTGCTCACAAAAAAACATTTGCAAAATGACAGCTTGTTGTCCACTGAAGAAAAAGAAAAAAGAGCTAAATAAAGACAGATGTCATGAAAGCTAAAGACTTAAGTAATGAATAATTAAGACCTCATAGGAAGGAAGTCTAAAGAAAGGAGTTAAGAAAAGAAATGATGCTTTAGAAAATAATTCAAAGGGCCATTTATCCCAATTGTGAGTAGAACAGAAATAGCTTAGCTTGGTCACATCATGAGGTCTCTATTGACCTTAAGCACATGAAGAAAACACAAAGGAAGATGGGTCAAATCACTAAGAATAAGAAAGAAAGACTGAAAAAAAAGTATTGCTGCAAAACCATTGAGTCAAGAGCTACCAGATAAAAACTGCTCTTTATGTATACTTGCACTAAGAAGGATACAGAGAAATTAGTAACTCCCTACTCAACAGAAAAGAAAATCTGTCAACAAATTATGAAGAAAGCTAAAGGGATTGGTGCCTCTGTTGTATCAGACTGCACAAGCAAATAGTTGGGACTGGTGATGCTGAGAACAAAATTATCTCAGCCTAGAGTAGGTAAAGAACAGATAAGGAGCACTCACGTGAACCAAATTGAGTCTTGTGAACATGACTAAAAGACAATTGAAGAATTAAGAAKGTGAATGATATACTGGAAGGACAGAACAGGCAACTGTAAATTGCTGTTATAAGAGGGGGCATGGAGCCAGAGAAATGCAGCTTGATTTAAGTGTAACTAACTTAAATTCATGGAAAAATCTTGGAACAAATAAACCTCACAAACTTTTATTAGCACCGAGATGATAACCAGAGAACAATTGCAGTCAACATGGATCTRTCAAAAATAAATCACACCAGATAACTTGATTTTTACCTCCAATAGGAAACAGGCCTTATGGATAGGCCTGTTCCTAACAGACAGAACCTATTGTCAGCTTGATTATGTTGATGACACTTACATAATATTTTCTTTAAAAAGTTAAAGAAATACAGTCTGGATAAATGTATTATAAGGTCAGTACAAAACTGACTGCATAGCAAGCAGTAGTTCATAGCAAGCAATAGTTCACTGTCAAAAGAAAAGGATACATTGTTGGTTTTCCTSGTTTTCCAGAGCCTGTCTTCAGTCTAGGTCTTTTTGTTATTRTTAACAATGTAAAGAACAGAACAGAGAAAATTCTTATTAATTTTGCAGGTGATGCAAAGCTGGAGGAGGACACAGAATTACATTTTAAAACATTTTGATCATTCAGGAAACATACTGTAAAATAAATAATAAAAAAGATGTTCAGTAAGATAAAGTTGCATCATAGTTCAGCACATTATAGTGGTATAAATCATCTCTGCCTTTCCTCTTCCCCTTGCTACTCATTTTCTGTCTCRCTGTCTTATGCCAGCATTAATTTTTCTGGGGCGCTCTGGTTCACTGTATGAGGAAGCTTATTAACTTTACAATTATAATTCCAGAGTTAGGTGTAACCTGGAGCACTTTGCTGATCTATTTGATCCTACTCTAGGTCGTGGCAATGGATGAGGTGACCTGCTGATTTCTTGTCTTGCTGTGATTTTCCACTCATTAGAAAGAAAGAACACTGTTGGTATAAAACTGAATATCCTGGTACAACTGACACTTCTTTGCAACAGCACAACATGGATCATTCATGTTGAGACTGTGGCCCAATATAAATCCAAAAGATCTGGTTCTCTGATCTCAATCTGCTGGACGGCTTAGGAACAGTTCCTTCATTTTCTCTCAGTTTCTTCAACTTCTGTGAAAAGCACATGGAAATCTGTAAATAACAATTTAATATCAYTGACTGAACACTAAGCCATTGCTCTTTTCTGTTTATTAACCATTCGTTCTCATCCTTTCTCTCAGTTATTCAGGATCTTGCTAGGATYCACTGTAAACACACATATCTCTATGTCAATAGAAATGGTTCCCTAAAAGAAATAAATTCCAGCAACTAAAATGTTTGCACGAGAGCCTGAGGCTTGTTCTTGTATCTAGCATGAGATTTATTTTTTCTGTCAGTGGCTTCTTTAAATATGAAAATGGTGAAATCTAATGTTAATCCATGAAGAAATGCCAGGCCCTGGGCATGCAGGAGTCCTTGACCACCCAGTCCTCCCCCAGGCTGGGCTTTACACAGACTCTGTCCTCAGCTCTGGCCTTTCCTGACTTGCTGAGTGGGCTTCCTGGACTGACTTGGACCTGGCTTGTCCCTTCTCATTTCCCTAATGATCACTGGGCTCTTACAGCCCCTGTCACAGTCCCAGCCCTGTTCTCCTGGCCAGGCTGGATGCTCTGGGATGAACCCTTGTTCAGGTCARTGTCCCTGCATRGTCCCYCTTGGCTCCTGGATCACTGCCTYTRTGGGGCAGCCCCACTCTCAYTGCTCCCTAACAAGGAATGAATTTTAAAGGCAGCTTATGCTCTCTCTGGAAATCAAAACTCTGCATCGTGTCTCTCCCTAATGTATCATTTGCAAATTCCATCTTAAGTAAACCTAGAAGTAAAGGCAAGGCCTGAAATTTTGTATGGGGTAGATGTCATCAACAAGCATCACAAGTTGGACTTCAAAGCAGAAGGGTTAAAAGAGCTTAATTCTTATTCAGAAGAGCATTTAAGCACATGCTTAGCTTAAGCCTGTCCTCAAATCCTTYGAATTTAATTACATAGATTGAGACCTTTCCTCAGCACCAAGCTCTGCTACTGTACTTTAGAAATGTGATTGTACACACCAGTATGTAGTTACACCTGTAGGTTGTGT